GCATGTCTTACTTATACTTCGCATATCAAAACTGCAGTTCGGTACAGCTTTTGGAAGCCTAATGAAATGCAAATACATCATGAGTACTACCTTAAGCGACCTAGGATAACCAAAGATCAGTGCTGGTGCAACGATGCACCATCGACAACATGACAATAAGGGTAAAAAACACAGACTCGATTCTGCCCGAATTTCTATTAGCTACCTGGGCAAACTAGCTGTGCCAACTTGGGAAGAATCAGAATATTGATGTGAAGATTTCCATTTCGTATGGAAGTACATTTTGAAGAGATTCGTCATGTGATGAACATCGTCAAAGCTGGGACTCATCCCTGTAAAAGCCTCAAGTTAACACTAAGTTAAGAAGATCCTCTATGATAAATATACTCATTGCAAGCAAAATTTTAGATATAGAAGGATATAGAAAGGTTAGATTAATTCACATATACTCTAGTGTGTCTTTGTGTGTATGGCTGTTAACGTCGGTACACAAAACCAGAAAAAAGCTTAGCGTCAGCCCCGGGTCATCAGGGCCTAATGGCATGTGGAATAAAGAAAAGAACAAAGGAAAAAGGAATGACCGAGATTGCGTTAGACCGTAAGTAACCCTGGTTAAATTTATTAGCTGTTGGTGTGTACACGTGAAAGTCAGATTACAAAACCACCAGTCTGGGTTATTAAGGAGAAGCTTGGTTGGCCCCTTACATCTGTTTTGGTTGATCAGTTGATGTCTTCTGGTGAGATTGACCTACGAATCTTTTCAACATGTACTTCCATACGAAATGAATGCCTACACATTAATCTTAACTCAGGAGATTCTTTGAAACTAGCATTTTTTCGTATATTATCAGAGTGACCCAACTCACAAAGACCAGCATCCTCGATTTCACGTATAGAACGGGTAGGTTACCATGACTGCACAGTTAGATTTGTCAAGTTATAATTAGTAATATGAAATGTATTGACCCTATTTCGTTTAAGGTGATGAAGGACTAGTAGTCGAATTTTCACATAATCATATGAGGAGAGCTGATATTTCCATTGAATTTCACAAAGCTTTGCTTTCCCAAAAGTTGTTCTCATCCAGGCAGGAGTAGACTGCAGTTTCGACCTCGCATATGTCTTAACACACCCGACTGGAGTCGAACTGTGACTGTGCATAATGTGAGCTTGACACGTTAACCATTCGGCCACATTGCCACGAGTGCCCTTGGGTCACAGGACAGATGTGAATTTCAAGGAAGGCCAGGCCTTTTGCCATATCACATTCTTTGGTGGGATTGTCGATGAAGCAAACGTATTTTTGCTATAACAATCGAGACTATCAGTAAATCAGTAATAAGATATATATTCACTATATTTCGAAAATCTACTTAAATACGATAAATAAGTTTGGTAGTCGATTGTTATAGCAAAAATACGTTTGCTTCATCGACAATCTCACCAAAGAATGTGATATGGAAAAAGGCCTGGCCTTCCTTGAAATTCACATCTGTCCTGTGACCCAAGAGCACTCGTGGCAATGTGGCTAAATGGTTAACGTGTCAAGTTCACATTCTGCACAGTCACAGTTCGACTCCCGCTGGGGGTGTTGATAAGACATATGCGAGGTCGAAACTGCAGTCCACTTCTGTGTGGATGAGAACATTTTTTGGGAAAGCAAAGCTTTGTGAAACTCAATGGAAATGTCAGCTCTTCTCATATGATTATGAGAAAATTCTACTACCAGTACTCCATTACCTTAAACGAAATAGGGAGAATACATTTCATATTACGGATTTACTGGTAGTCTCAACACTCTACTTATACACGAAGAGTAATCTTTTCTTGTCTTGGTTCTAATCATAGTCACTTCTTTGTATTTTTAGATCAATCTTTCTCTCTCGCATTAAAACCAAAAACAAATAATAGGCTCATCAACAAAACCAGACGTGTGTCTGACCTCGCACATTCGAAGTGGGGATTATAATATGTATGTAGAAAGGGTGATAGAGTGGTCATCAAACCTTGATGGCCGAGAACAGATTTTCTTACTTTCACTGTCCGAATTACTTTGAACCATCACTGCTGGTTTCTTGCTGAGGGAACACAAACAGGCACATACACATACAGAGACATACACACTCACAGGCTTCGAGGTTGACGTATGACCGTAACTAACTAAATCACTTTATACCTGATCAAAGAGGCCAGATATAGAGTTTATATACCGCTTTTTAGGGATTTGCCGGTGAATTTTCTTGAATCGTTAGCTTTTATTTGGTTGTGACGATGACACCTTGCTCTGAGGGTGTTCGTCATATGACGGACGAAAGCTTATTACTTTTGCATCGGAATCGAAGTTGATTACCTTGGAAACAGCGTCAGCATAAATGTTCCAGTAAAGCCAATCGACGGCTGATCAAAAGGGATCCGCTGTCGCCTTATGGTGGAATCAACCTTCACATCTCTTCATCAAACACTTTCACTCGAAATGGAAATAAGCTCAACGAATATTGTTGAGCCTACTTCCGTTTCGAGGGTCGATCTCAACAAAGGATGACGGTGAATAATCTCGTGATCAGCTGTCGATTAGCTTTACGGGAAAATTCTTGTTGGCACTGTTTCCGGAGCAATATCCTTTGACTTCAGCGAAACCTTGCTAGGCTTTCCTCCCAATGATATCGGATATCATCGGTTAGGAAAAATAACCGGCTTATCTGGAAATGCTCATATATATATATTTATTTATTTATTTACCCTAAATATAGCCTTTTTCATGAGGCATAACGCATTTTTCAGGGATGAAATATAAATTGAATTGACCAAATCACTTTATAATTCATCAAAGAGCTTAGATACAGAGTATATATACAGCATTTACGGTGTTTATATACATATATAAAAATAAATATACATACGATGAGTCTTTTTAACTCGTTGGCTTAAATATTGTTCTAGGAATGATACCCTGCTCTGGTGATGTCTTTCATATGATGGACGAAAGTTTAGCACTTTCCACCAGAATCGAAGTCAATTGCCTCCTAAACAGCGCCAAAATGCATGTTCTAATAAAGCCACTCGACAGCTGGTCTTCTGGCGGGACCAACCCTCGAATCTCGTCACCAAACATTTTTACGAGAAATGGAAGTGAGCTTAAAAATTATAAATCAGGCGATTCCTCTTTACCCAACTTTTTTCGCTGGGACTGTTCTGTTAAATTCATTTACCGCATGACCCATCGAAATACAATCTGCCTTGCTTTGTTTGTACAGATACCTTGCGTACATTACCCGAAGACAGGGAGCCCTTGGACCCTGGAGCCATTGCTCCGTTGTAGCGCCTCTAGTGCCTCATTACGCCGGATGCAATCGACCCTTTAGACAGCACACAGCGGAAGCCGATTCCGCCCACTGGCAAGCACTACTCAAATGAAAGGTGCCATTTCTATCCTACAACTCAGGGCGGAGGTTGCTGCTTCCAAAGTGGTAGAATCCCCTCAGAAAGACCTGCTATCTGTTCCCTTTTCCGCAGACGCTGTTCCATTTGCACTACCCAACGCACACAGACATGCGCGAAACAGACCCATGTCGAAATATTCCTTCGATAGAAAGAGCCCAGAATTCAGGGAGTCCCTCTCGTAGAATGCCGGCTGTTTTACCCCTTTTGGCGAGCTCATATTTCTTCAAGATTGAGTTTCATTTATCACGGGCTTCGTGGCCACTTTTGGCTTCCAGCACCACAGCCAGTCATGCTACAGCAAATGACGCACACGCGCAATGCTTACAACTATGCATAACAATATAAATAAACCTATCCATGTACCATTCCAAAAGAGACATTTGCTTTTTCCTTTTGCCCCATCTGGCTTGACACCCTCGAAGCTAATCCGGCCCCACCACTCATCCGCCCTCAGCACACATGCGACATGACATACGCGCATGAGCACAATCCGGCCCAATCCCCTCTTGGTATCCTCTTCGTCACGCAGGTAGGTCGCTGCCGTATCCAGGCTCACAGGCTCTCTTTCCCATGGCGGACCCAGCAACAAAAAGCATGTTGCTTTCCAGCAGTCATGCCGGCCGGCTCGGGCAAGCGCTTCGCGCGAAGCATTCCCAGTCTTCACATTGGCAAGCCTTGGTACAGGCCAACTGGCATGCAGGCATTGGCGGTTGTCAGCGCGCCAATCAACGACAGAATAGGCGAGGCTGCCATCCCCAGACCAGAAGAAAAATGGGCCGTGAAAGAGTCCACAAAGGCGGCCAGGCCTGATTAGTCGCAGTTTTGTGTGGAGGTGAACGGCAGCGATTGGTAGTTTTGGTCGCACTGGAGCTTTGAGGCTTCTGCTTTTCTATTCAACATGACAGAAATCGGTGCGCCGGACAACGCTGAGCCCAATCACAGCATCACTCGCCGACAGGCCTAACATCGGCCCATCCTGAGGACAAACTCTACCGAAGCAGCCGACTTGTAAGACCGACTCCCACCTTTCCAAATGTGCTACTCAACGTAGGAGGCAACTTATGGTGGCGGAAGAAAGGAGAAACAAGTCCCTATTCTCACCACTTTTAGACCAAACACAATCAAACGACGCAGCTAATTGGCCAGCTTCTAGCTAGTCGCTTACCTGACAACTTTTCTTCTCTATTGCCGATTCCTGTCCCAGTGCAATTACGCAATAACTCGTTGCCCAACCACACAACTTCACATTCACACACTGCCAGACGAGACGAAGTGTAGACGAACCAAGTGTACAATAAACGCAGACTTTCACAAATCTATGCTCTGCTTTCAGCCATAGTATCCATTTTGCTAGAGCACCCCCACAAGACTCATACTCAAAAAATGCTAGGGCACAATGCGCTACTGTGCACGTGTCAGCACACACCACCGACAACAGGCATACATGAGCTCGGGCACAAGAGTGTACAAACCTAAAAGTGAACTTGCGTGACCTTGTTAACATAATATTTGACCTTGTATAGTATTTCCTATGACTTTGCCCAGTGTTCGTCAGGCTTTCTATCTACTCTGCACACCCATCGTGCTCCGATCCAATTTCGCCGGAAAGTGGGGAGATTGTCACTGTCCTCCATCTCTTCACATTGTGTACACATCCCTCCCTCGCATTGAATACTCATTTCGCCCACTTACCTCACCACTTTTGCTGCATTATCTTGAAGAAGAAAAAGAAGATTCATTGGTACGTGACTATGCCTTGCCTAGATGCATTGCTCTCGGCCGGACTATGCATACACTACTCGTTCATATTGCTATTCCTTTCTTGATTGGCTTGCACAAAATCGATCGGTGATTTCTGCTAGTTATTTATTTCATATTCAATATATTTTGAAATGGTGTCCTACCTAGAAAGAGTTTTCGGAGAAAACCTTATTGGTGAGAAGGCATGTCAATGACTGATATGATTAGGGGATAAATAACAAATAGTATGAGAGGATTCAGCTACTTGTCCATATCAGTAGTAAGTAGATATTTATGGAAAAATTTGGAAACAAATGTGTTTTCCATCCCTATCTTAGCAAAACGAGCAACACAACAGCCAATATTGGAATATATGGCCCTCGTGGGTGAAATGTCATTTAAAGGAATAGTCAAATCGTAGACGACAAAAGTGGTTTTAACTAAGGAGACCAGTAGTTGGGGCGCCACAGCTCAGAATAAAACATGATTATGTAAATTAGACTAATTGTGTAGAATTTCGAATCACTGCCATATTGACATAGGAAAATTTTTGAAAACGGCTTACAAGTGACAATTGGTTTGAGAAAATTCAATCAAATCATTGCAACTGCGACCTCAACTCAGATCACTTAATACCCGTGACTAGTTTCGAGCTCAGTTAATGGATAACCCATTGGCTCTGCCCATTGAGTAACAGACGCTTTAGAGGCTATCGATGAACAAATAAATTCTTTATTTTCCAATCATAGCCAGAAGCAAAAAACTGGGCACGCTATAACTTTTATGCCTCGTCTGATTAATACTTGTTAGCATGGCAGAATAAAACTTATAAGGCACTGCCATTCATAAGTTAATTGGCTAGTGTATAGTGAGAATAAATATGTCGGTTTTGGACTTCTTTGAGCATAGTTATTGACATTTTGCTGATAATTTATAGAATGGCAACATACTATCAGTGAATTTAAAAATCAAATTAAATAACATGTTCATCTCCGCCAAATGATCA